TGTGTGTATGTGTGTGTGTGTGTGTGTGTGTGTGTGTGTGTGTGTATGTGTGTATGTGTGTGTGTGTGTGTGTGTGTGTGTGTGTGTGTGTGTATGTATATGTGTGTGTGTGTGTGTGTGTGTGTGTGTGTGTATGTGTGTGTCTGGGGTCAGGACTGAAACATCAAAATAAACTGTTTAATAAAAAACAAAATTTTTATGTTTTTTATTTTCGTTCCATAAAATTGGTTCGTTTTTGACTTTGAAAATAAAATACATTTTTTCAAACAGAAATAAGGTTAAGGCCCATTTCAAGCTTCTTTATTTTATTTTTATTTTATTTGAATGATTTAGTTCATAAATAGATTTTATTTTAAAATCCAACCTGTCTCCTCCCCTTTTTGTCTCAGGGTCTGAACACGTTCAGTAAATAAACCTTTGTTCAGTTCTACTTCACTGATCTGTAAAGTGAAAGTATTTTATTTATTCACACTGTTCACACTAAACTGCAAAGTCACTCGTGTGTTAAACTGTTTTACTGTGAAAGTGTCGCCGCTCGATCCTGATCCAACAGCAAAACCAAAACTCTTCTACATCATTTCAAACAAACACACGGTGACTCGACTTGGTGACGTGGTTTTTCTTATAATGGATGAACGTCTGGACAAAATCAAATCATAAATAATAATGATTTTGTCCATTTCTGCCTTTGACCTTCATACGAAAACTTATTTTTGTGTCATGATACAAAAGACAGAAAACAGGAAGTGAAACAAAAGGTCAAGGAGACTGAACTATTCGACTTTTGTCTGGACAAAACAGAAACTTTGACGTCATTTTCCTCAGTTTCACACTCTGGAGAGTTAAACTCTTTTGCCTTTGTTGGCAGTGTTGTGGAGTAACAGATTACACGTACCAGAGTTTTGTAATCAGATTACAAATTATGAGTAACTGTATTCAGTTACAGTTACTGTTTCAATGGAGGTAATTGGATTACAGTTACTTTGTTGAAATAAATGGATTACAGGGTGGTATTTTCCTGTTTTCACATTTTGGGCCAAACCAGGACTAAAATCAGGACTAAACTAGTTCTAAACCAGGACTAAAACCAGGTCTTAATTAGATCTAAACTAGATCTAAACCAGGTCTAAACTATCCTAGTCTTTGCTTCCCTACAGCAAATCAAGTAATCTAAAGTATTCAGATTACATTACTCACTTTAAGTAACTTCATGGATTCTGTTACAAACTACATTTTGGGGAATGTAATCTGTAATCTGTAATCTTTAGGGGATTACATTTTAAAAGTAACTTTCCCAACACAGTTTGTTGGGCAGAGTTGTGATCAGTAAAAGTTTTATTAATGTGAAGAACTGCAGTGGTGTCAGTTCCACTTTTGTCCACAAGAGGGCAGCACCTGAGCGCACATCATCTTCATGTTTTATGTTTTACTTCTAATTAAATGAACTGACAAACATTATTCTGAATTATGTTTTATTTCATTTTCTCACTTTAAACTGAAATGTCTTTTGGCAGAATCTCAGCGTCACTATAGACTCAGTATTATTAAGTACATCTATATTACTACAGTTAGATTATAAAAGTATTTTACGTGTACTTTACATCATTTAAACGTTTTATATCAAACTAAACTGACTCTGAGGTTTAAGTCGTGTTCTAATGTTGTTTCCTCAAAAACAGATCTGGACTTGTGTTTGTTTCATTCACATGTTTGAGTAACTCCGTGTTATGAGTCAGTCTAAATCTGCTAAGCTCCAAATGCTCTGTTCCCCCTTGTGATGTCATCAAGTGGAGCTCCTCTGTGCTTTAGTTCGGAACTTTAGTTCGGAACAGAGTGTTTTCAGTTTGAGAAGAGCTCGGCCTGAATCTGCAGGTCCGTCCGTCCATCCACGTTCTTCCTCTTCTCCGGGGTCGGGTCTGAGCAGGGACTCGCAGACTTCCCTCGCCCCAGACACTTCCTCCAGCTCCTCCAGAGGGACCCAGAGGTGTTCCCAGGCCAGTCCAGAGACACAGTCCCCCAGGATCTGGAGGAGCCGAGTCTGAGTCTAAATGTGCAGGTTTGTGAGTTAAATGTTAAACTCCAGGTCTGGTCACACAGTCGTCCTGTTTTTCTGTGGATCAATAACATTTGTCTAAGTCTAAGTCATTCTGGTAATATCGTCTGAACCGTCACAGGAGGCAGTGAAACAAATGTGCTCATCCAGACCAAATGTGGGTCTGGGGAGTCACTGCCCCCTAGTGGCTGAAATATGTCACTACATTGAGTCTATAATACGGCCAGTACAAATATTTACTTTAAAAATGTGTTAATATTTTAAATATGTCAATAAAACAAAAGGATTGTATAAAATAAATGTGAATCTTAGTCTGAACCAGGACTATAGGACAGTCCTGGTTTAGTCCTGGTTTAGTCCTGGTTTAGTCCTGGTTCAGGTCTATAGGATAGTCCTGGTTTAGTCCTGGTTTAGTCCTGGTTTAGTCCTGGTTCAGGTCTATAGGACAGTCCTGGTTTAGTCCTGGTTCCTGGTTTAGTCCTGGTTTAGTCCTGGTTTAGTCCTGGTTTAGTCCTGGTTCAGTCCTGGTTCAGTCCTGTTTTCAGCTCCGGTCCAACATTTAAGTTGTAGGATTTTTTTAGATTTGTTATTTTTTTTATATCTCACGTCGAGAAGTGGGTGGACGTTGTGACCCTCGAGTACCCAGAGTATCCGAGTACCCCTGAGTATCCCCTGAGTATCCCTTGTGTAACCCGAGTACCACAGCCATTAGATTCTGATCATGTGTGATACTCTGTGTCAAACTCAGGCCTGGGGGCCAAATTTGGCCCACGATATATTTATATTTGGCCCGTGAGATCAAATCTGTATTAGATTTGCTCACTGCCCACAGATCGACTACAGACACATGATTTATTCAACATGTTGTTATTTTATATTCTGCTTGTTCTGGATTCAATGTTTAAGTAAAACTATTATTAAACTTTTATTTTAATAAGAAAAGATTTAACATTACAGATCTGGAAAGAAGAGAAAACATGCAGGTGATGTTGAAATTTTTCAATAAATATTTAGTTTGGTCCACAACTTAGACCCAGTTTTTAAATTTGGCTTCGGTGAATTTGAGTTTGACTTGAGTGTTACTGTACATTATTGTGTGTAAGTGTTTTATTATTGTGTGTAAGTGTTTTATTATTGTGTGTAATAGTGTTTTATTATTGTGTGTAATAGTGTTTTATTATTGTGTGTAAGTGTTTTATTATTGTGTGTAATAGTGTTTTATTATTGTGTGTAAGTGTTTTATTATTGTGTGTAAGTGTTTTATTATTGTGTGTAAGTGTTTTATTATTGTGTGTAAGTGTTTTATTATTGTGTGTAAGTGTTTTATTATTGTGTGTAATAGTGTTTTATTTGTGTAAGTGTTTTTATTTGTGTGTAAGTGTTTTATTATTGTGTGTAATAGTGTTTTATTATTGTGTGTAATAGTGTTTTATTATTGTGTGTAATAGTGTTTTATTATTGTGTGTATTGTGTGTAAGTGTTTTATTATTGTGTGTAAGTGTTTTTATTATTGTGTGTAATAGTGTTTTATTATTGTGTGTAAGTGTTTTATTATTGTGTGTAAGTGTTTTATTATTGTGTGTAAGTGTTTTATTATTGTGTGTAAGTGTTTTATTATTGTGTGTAAGTGTTTTATTATTGTGTGTAATAGTGTTTTATTATTGTGTGTAATAGTGTTTTATTATTGTGTGTAAGTGTTTTATTATTGTGTGTTAGTGTTTTATTATTGTGTGTAAGTGTTTTATTATTGTGTGTGTTTTATTATTGTGTTAAGTGTTTTATTATTGTGTGTAAGTGTTTTATTATTGTGTGTAAGTGTTTATTATTGTGTGTAAGTGTTTTATTATTGTGTGTAATAGTGTTTATTATTGTGTGTATTTTTATTATTGTGTGTAAGTGTTTTATTATTGTGTGTAAGTGTTTTATTATTGTGTGTAAGTGTTTTATTATTATTGTGTGTAATAGTGTTTTTATTGTGTGTAATAGTGTTTATTATTGTGTGTAAGTTTTATTATTGTGTGTAAGTGTTTTATTATTGTGTGTAAGTGTTTTATTATTGTGTGTAAGTGTTTTATTATTGTGTGTAAGTGTTTTATTATTGTGTGTAATAGTGTTTTATTATTGTGTGTAAGTGTTTTATTATTGTGTGTAATAGTGTTTTATTATTGTGTGTAATAGTGTTTTATTATTGTGTGTAATAGTGTTTTATTATTGTGTGTAAGTGTTTTATTATTGTGTGTAAGTGTTTTATTATTGTGTGTAAGTGTTTTATTATTGTGTGTAAGTGTTTTATTATTGTGTGTAAGTGTTTTATTATTGTGTGTAAGTGTTTTATTATTGTGTGTAAGTGTTTTATTATTGTGTGTTAAGTGTTTTATTATTGTGTGTAAGTGTTTTATTATTGTGTGTAAGTGTTTTATTATTGTGTGTAAGTGTTTTATTATTGTGTGTAAGTGTTTTATTATTGTGTGTAATAGTGTTTTATTATTGTGTGTAAGTGTTTTATTATTGTGTGTTAAGTTTATTATTGTGTGTAAGTGTTTTATTATTGTGTGTAAGTGTTTTATTATTGTGTGTAAGTGTTTTATTATTGTGTGTAAGTGTTTTATTATTGTGTGTAAGTGTTTTATTATTGTGTGTAAGTGTTTTATTATTGTGTGTAATAGTGTTTTATTATTGTGTGTAAGTGTTTTATTATTGTGTGTAAGTGTTTTATTATTGTGTGTAAGTGTTTTATTATTGTGTGTAAGTGTTTTATTATTGTGTGTAAGTGTTTTATTATTGTGTGTAAGTGTTTTATTATTGTGTGTAAGTGTTTTATTATTGTGTGTAAGTGTTTTATTATTGTGTGAACATTAAAGGCGTCATTTCACTTCACAGGGCAAAGTGCTGTTTCCTCTGTGCACGACGACACACTTTACATTTTCAGCGCCGTCATGTTAAAATGTTTCCCCCCTCAAGCGCAAAAGTCAAACTGCACCGATGTTTTTCAGTCAGTTTCAGTTTTGTCTCACACTCACACGTGTGTCTGTCATTTGTGACTCAGAACTTTTGTGGGTTTTTTGGTCAGTGAAGAATTACAAAGGAAATGTCAAGAAAATATCAAGTCACAAGGTAAAACGAGAAGACAAGAGAAGAACCAGAAGAACCAGAAAACCAGAAGAACCAGAAGAACCAGAAGAACCAGAGGAGCAGAGGATGAAGGCAGCACTTTGTTTTCCATGTGAGTAATAATAATGATTTTATTGATAAATGATGGGAGGTTTGTGGTGGTTTGTGTTGCTTCAGGAGCAGTACACATCACACACACTAAAAACATCCAATAAACAGAAATAAAAAGTCGTTCACAAATTCAACTTTCATATTTTTATAACAAAAATAATCTACATTAATTTTATTAAACAAATACAAGGATCTGATTGGTTGATAAAAGTGTGTTTTAAAAATGTGATTAGACAGAATTCACATTACACCAGCGATTACACACAAGAATGAATTTAATATTCATTTGAATTTAATTTGAATCTTGTATTTACGTGAGTTGTTGTGTTTGTGCTGCAGTGCTGCTGTCTCTGCTCGGCTCACTGGACTCAGGTAAACTCACATTAAACCTGTTTGCAGCTTTATGCACAATTATCTCACAGAATAGAAGAGAATAGAATATAACATGATAGAATATATGATATAATATAATATTTCTATATTTAGTTTTGAGTGGGACATTGTTCATTAATGTGTAAATATAAACGTGTGTGTTTGAGTGAGACGTTCTGTCTGTGACACAATCTAAAAGTTCAACTTTCATGTAAAAGTCAATTTGTTAAAATACAACAAACATTCAAATCATAAAAAGTTTCATATATGAAACAAAAATACATGTACATCGTGCTCACATTTTTGTGATTTAATGAGAAACTTTGGCATTTTTTTTAAAAAGGCTGAGATGGTGAAACCTCTGCCCGAGGAGCTGAAACCCAGACTGTTACACTAAATATAATATCACATTTTATATATATATATATATATATATATATATATATATATTATATATATATATATATATATTATATATATATATATATATATATATATATATTATATTTATTATATTTATTTATATATTTATTTAATATAAAATTTTAAAAATGTATGTATGCATGTATATATAGAGAGAGGGAGATATACGTTCTTTTACAGTGGAACATATCTATATTTCTTACTTGCTCAAAATAAATACAAAAATCAAATCAACCAATAATATAATAAATATAATACATATACTATACTCTAATATAATATAATATTCTATAATATAATATAATATACTATAATATAATATAGTGTCAGTGTTGATTTGTGAATGTGTGTGGTTGATTTCTTTTCAGCGTTTCTTCTGGTGATGTGATTTTGTGCTTTTAAATGTGATTCTGTGTTTTTAAATGTGATTCTGTGTTTTTAAATGTGATTCTGTGTTTTTAAATGTGATTCTGTGTTTTTAAATGTGATTTAAATGTGATTCTGTGTTTTTAATGTGATTTTAAATGTGATTCTGTGTTTTTAAATGTGATTCTGTGTTTTTAAATGTGATTCTGTGTTTTTAAATGTGCTTCTGTGTTTTTAAATGTGATTCTGTGTTTTTAAATGTGAGCTACAAACTCTACACGGAGCAGAATTGTAGACTTTTATATTTGTTTTTAAAGTGCAGCAGTTTTTTCACGTTTTAGTTTAGTTTTTGGAGATTTTACACAAGAAAATGACAAGAATTTACGGCCATTTCTGCATTTTTATAATATTTTCACTCACTCTGTGTTACTCTGTATGATCTTTATAAAATCTAATCTCATGGAACAATCTCCACACATTTCAGATGATGTTTCTATGACACGTTTGTGCCCAGTAGTGTATATTATATTATATTATATTATATTATATATATAACATAACATAACATATAATTATATATCATATCATATTATATCATATATCTACTAGTAGTGACTCGGTGGGACACAAATGAACAACTGTTTCATTTTAAATTGTTTGTTTGACAACTACAGATTTTTAAACTTGTATCACTGTAAAAAAAAAAAAAAAAAGGGAAATGTGAATCTTGAGCTGTGGGGCCGAGACGGTCAGATGGATAATAATAATAATATACACGAGAGGCTCCATCTCTTGGTTTATTTGGTTAAATCCCCACTAAATATACAGGGTAAATATGAATTTAAAGTTTAAAATATGAATTTTATAAATTGGTTTAAAAAAGAAAAGAAATCCGGGTAAATTAAAACCGTTTCCAGAAGTAGAAACAGTGTTAAAGTTCAGATGTGTACAGTCTGTGGCAGGTGACTCTGTGCTCCTCGTCTTCACTTTGCTCCGTTGACGTTTGTCCTGTTAAACTGAGTGTGAACTGTGTCTGTGTTTAAAGAAAACACCCGGGGGGTTTGTGTGTTTCTGTTTTGGTGGAGAGCGTTCACATAAAACTAATCAAAGTGGCACATCAGAACAGAGAGATTTTGCAGAGCACAGAGAGCACAGAGAGCACAGAGAGCACAGGAAGAGACGCTGAGCTGTAAAAGTCAATCCCTCTGTCTATGTCATCACAGGAAAACTTCACCCAAAGTCTTTTAATCATCACATAATGACTATTAAAGGTGCACTGCGTAACATTTCTAGAGGAGGGTCCATCACCTGCTTGTCTTGAGCGATATGCAGATTTTTAGTGAAAGGTGAATGATGTGGCTGTGGAAGAAAGAAACATGAGCTGCTTCACGTTGAGCTCGACGTCAGTGAGTCGATGGTGACACTTTGGTGACAGTAAAGCGATGAACTGACTCAAAGCAAAAAGACAAATGTTGAAAATGTTCTTGAAGACGTGGACACCTGCGGTTTATAGACAAGTGCAGCCTGTATATGCACATTTCTTTTTTTCTTTTAAAAAGTAGTTGATGCAGCTTATATTCAGGTTCGCTCAGTAGTCCAGAAAATACGGTAATGATGTTAAAAATGTTTTAGTTGTGAGAGTCGTGTCTAACCTCTGTCCTCTCCTCCAGAGTCTCCTCCAGTGTCTCTGAAGCTGGAGCCGGACCAGTGCATCTTTGAGGAGAGGAGCACTGTGAATCTGAGCTGTGAGGAGTCTGGTCCCAGGTCTGGACTCTGGTCTGGACTCTGGTCTGTGCTCAGAAACACCACAAGAGAAAACCAGACTGTCTGTGGAGATGTTTGGGGCAGGTGGAATGGGTCAGCGTGTCGTGTCTCTGCAGTGGCAGCAGAACCGGACAGTGGTGTTTACTGGTGTGAGTCTGCAGACGGACTTTCCTCTCAGCCCGTGAACATCACTGTCACAGGTAAAGACCAGCGCCACCTGTAGGTCACAGCTGTAATAATAGACTAACAATAATATTAATAATAATGTGTTTATATCTAAAATCCATGTATCATTCATTCATTCGTTTTTCAATATAAAACCAAAAATAAGAAGAAAAAAACAACAGTTTTCTTCATTATTTGTCTCCAAAACCAAAATGAAAAAACAGATAGTGATTAGTTTTTTCAGTTTTCAATTTTGTGTTTAAATGAAAAAAGGAAAAAACAGAAAACGACCGTTTCCCGTTTACGTGACTTCAGTGACTGTGATGCCAAACTGAACCAGGACTGATCCAGGTCCGGGACCAGACCGGGACCAAAGCAGTACTGAGACGGAGACCAGACCGAGACCAGAACCAGGAACAAACCGAGACCGAGACCGGAACCGGGACCAGACGAGACCGACCAGACTGAGACTGAGACCAGGACTGAGACCAGGGACCAGACTGAGACTCAGACCAGACCAGACCGGGACCGAGACCAGACTGAGACCAGACCGAGACCAAGACCGGAACCAGGACCAGACCGAGACAGAGACCAGACCGGACCAGACCAAGACCAGACCGGGACCGAGACCGGACCAGACTGAGACTGAGACCGAGACCAGAACCGGGACCAGACCGAGACCGGAACCAGACCGCGACCAGAGCAGACTCTGAGCTTTGACTCTGAGCCTCAGCTTTGAGCTCCTGCCCTGCCGCAGGCTCTGAGCCTAAGGTCTCAGTCCCGGACCTGGTTCAGTCCTGGTTCAGTCCTGGTTCAGTCCTGGTTCAGTCCGTATGCAGTGCAAAAGTCCAACATCGCAGTCACTGAAGTCACGTAAACAGGAAACGGACGATATCTGTGTAAACACAAAATTGAAAACTGAAAAACAAATCATTAACTGTTTTTTTTTTTTTCATTTTGGTTTTGGAGACAAATAATGAAGAAAACTTTTTTCTTTTTCTTATTTTTGGTTTTATATTGAAAAACAAATGAACGAATGACACACAGATTATCTAAGACCCTGAGCATTTTTCTGCATTTTTCTCAAACACGTCTGTAATAACCACAGACTCTGCACAGTTTGCACCAGCAGCAGCTCGTGTCTGTGGTCAGTATTAGTTTCAGTGACATTTTGGGGGGGGGGGGCTGATAAAAAAAGAACAAAAACAGGAAGTGTGTGTCAACACTAAAACTCCAATAATACAAAGACAGTGAGCATTTTCCTGACACTTTAAACCTTCATTTTCAAGATTCATTATTTTTATTTGGCTCTAATAATCAGTGTAATGAGCAATTTACTAGATATTTCTCCCAACAAATAACTAAGTTTTTAACTTTTTTTTTTTTTTAAGGGCACATTCACACTTGGTCTTTTGAATTGTGCCATGCTCAAGCTCGATCTGTGTGGGTTCTATGTTCTGCACTCACACCTGCAGAACCGAACCGGGCCACGGCCGCAGACGTCGTCACACGTGCTGTTTGTGTACGTGTGCAGCACAGTGACGCTTTAGCCGAGAAATAAGTCCAGCAGCAGAAACATCCAGGGCCGTGGGAAGATGATTTGGGTTCAGGGGCTGATGAGAAGTGACTCGATAAATAAAAGACAGATGTAGTGCACAATACAAACAGCACACTATTCACTTCATGTTTACTTCATGTAGGTCTAAACACACACTGTGCTGTACACACATGATGCCCTGGACACACACACAGAATAATCACTTCAAATGCCACTTGTTTCAGTTCAAATGTTTGACTTCCTCTTAAAGTCGGGGCTTTTGGTAAATGAGTCGACTTCCCCAAAAACATCTCCACGTAACGAGCGTCAACACAAACCTGCAGTGTCTTTACTCTCAGAAGCAGAAACGCACAATCATCTCACTCTGACCTGAACCCAAGAACAACATCGAGCTCACAGCTGAAAACAAACGTCTTAAACAGTCGCCTCAAACATCATCACAGCAAACACAGCTGTGAGGTGAAGTGTAGATCTGCAGCACTCACAGACACACTGATGCTCCGGCGACATGGATATAAACTAGAGCCCGACCCATATATCGGTTGGCCGATATTATCGGCCGATATGGGCACCTGGAGGCATATCGGCTATCGGCCGATATTTCACGTGGTCATGTGATACGTCGTTATAAATCTTAGTCTCTCTACATTCTGTTCATTTAATCCAATTTACAGACAGATAAATGTCCAAATATGTGGCTCCACATCAGTGTTTATCTGCGGAGTCATTTGTCTGTGTCGTACTGTCCCTGAACACACCACAGAGTCACGTGTGTTTGTTTACACTCACACACACAGATCCAAACATTGAGATTATTTTCTTTTTACGGACAATCAGTTTGAGTCTGGATTAAAAGGACATTTATTAGTTCAGACTTGTGATGTGGGAGGAGCCTGTGTGACGCTGAGTGTTAGAAATCAACTTTTTGGTTCTTTGTTATGGATGATCTGTTGTGTCTCTCACACATAAACAGGCTGTTTTCTATTGGTCTATTGTAAAGTGATTTTATTGTCTGTATATTTGTTCCTGCATTGATGTAAATGAGCTGTGAACAGACGTGTGAATTATGACATTTACGCATATAATTAATTACCGCGGCGCGCACGTATTTACGGCTAAAGGCTAATAGCGCTAGTTTCTTTACTGGTTATGGGGTCCGTCGTGAATGAAAATCCGACTCTTAGAAGCGAACGACGGGAGCCTGATCCTTACTGGGAGCCGTGTTTTCTCTTTTCTCTCACTTTTTTTCTCTTCACACCGCGTGCAGATTCGTAGTTTGTAGTTCGTAGTTTCATATCGGCCACAGCAAAATCCATATCGGTCGGGCTCTAATATAAACTGTCATGTGCACATAATGTGTCTGCAGTGTCGTGTGTTGGTAACATTAACGCCATCGTACTTTAAAACGTAATACTGTTAGAAACTGTTTTTCTTTTAATGTCGTTATTCCCGTCACTGTTGATAATAAATACCTTGTACGAATTTGTCCATGTTTGCATCGTGGCTGCTCGCTGAATACATGCATCACGAATCTCGTACTTCCGGTCATGGCACAATTCACACTGGGAAAGATTTTCAAAAAAAGTGATCATCAAACCTCCATGTTTGTTTTCCCAGTGGGACGTGTCGATTGACAAAGTCGATCTTTTCAAGTCTTTTGAACCATTTCACTTTTGTTTCTGGTTCTGATATTGTCATATTTTAGTTTTGGGATTCAGACATGACACATGTATTCCCTCTGTATCCAACCAGGAAGTGACATTATAAACTTCACCCAGAACTCAAAACATTTTAATGTTTTAATGAAACTCATATTTTCAACTGTCATTTGCACTTTAACACTTTTTTTTTTAACTTATAAACATAATACAGTACAATAATAAAAATAAGAGAAATTGGGTTAAAATTATATTTAGTCTGGACAGTGTGTCATTTATTTTGATGTATGTAAATATTTGTAAAGTTTTGTGATCGATGTTCATGAGGAACCACATCATTTTTGGTTAATGTAAGTTTTTCTTTTCCCTCCTTTTCGAGAAAAGTGCTTATTGTACAATGTTAGATTATTGTTTCTCTCTCGGCACAATCTCGAAATGAAAACAAAATCAACACAAGAAGTTTTATAAAAACTGTCTAAAAATCGAATTCAGTTCGGTGAAGATTTAATGTTGTGTTTTGTTTCAGAGCATCTGAAGCCGAACGTCTCCACAGCCTGTCCTACTCCTACTCCTCCTCCTCCTCCTCCTCCTCCTCCTCTCTCCACCTCCGCCCCAGCCCCTCGTCCGGCTCTGCCCCCCTGGCTGTGGCTCGTCGTGGGCTCGGTCGTCGGGGTGCTCCTGGGTCTGCTCCTGGTTTTCCTGGGTCTCGTGATTCTTCGGAGCAGATGGAGAACAGGTCTGACCTCCTCTGATCTTTGTTATGTTTGTATTGATGCAAAATCTGACCTCTGCCAGCCCCTGCCAGCCCCTGCCAGCCCCTGCCAGCCCCTGTCAGCCCCTGCCAGCCCCTGTCCAGCCCCTGCCAGCCCCTGCCAGCCCCTGCCAGCCCCTGTCAGCCCCTGCCAGGGAATCATGAGCAGTCTGGAATCACATTCCTCACTGTGGGAAAAATTCTTTATGGTGATTTTTTTCGCTGCAGTTCCAGTGAGTGGCCACTAGTCCAACTGCAGGCGGCTCTAACATCAGCATCATGCTCCAGTTATTTTAATTTTAATCGATCTTTAGGTTCCGTCGCTTTATTCGTACCCATAGGTAAATTTGTTTTGCAGATTTTGAGATTTGATTCCTCCACACTCTGCACAAGAAACACATAAAAACACAATGACAATAAAGAGTTCCAAAGCTCCAGAGTGGAACGGTTGTGTTCCATAAATAATTCATTCATCAAGCTTGGCTAAAAATCACAATAAATATTTAATTCACGGGGTTTTCCAAAAAATCTGACATCATTTCACAAGCAATAATTTTGGTGATTCTTGTTGAAATAACCTCAAATTTTCACAGAATGTACAGAAACAGATCAAGATTTTGTATTTAATGTTTTATTTTTGTTCTGTTTTCAGGTTGAGTCGTTCACTCCCAAAGAAAAGTCATTTTACGTTTTGGAATCTGCTGCAGACTCACCCAAGACTGAGCAGCTTCAACGCAAAATCTGGAAAAACTTCACCCACTGGCAAATAATTTGGACTTGGTGCCAAAAATGTAAAAAGTTTGGTGGTTTATGCAGGACTAAAGGATCTGGACCAACACCAACATCAGAAGAAAAACCAAGAGCAGGTTCATGAAAAACTCTTGCGAAGCTCCAAGAGTCTGTAAAGAAAACAAGTTTGGAAACTCAGATTCGTTGACTGACAGTTCGGCGTCACCACATCCTTTAATCCTGCATAATCAGACAAACTCTGCACATTTTTGGTATCAAGTCCAAATTTGTTTCCAGTGGGTGAAGTTTTTCCCGATTTTTCGTTGAAGCTGCTCAGTCTTGGGTGAGTCTGCAGCAGATTCAAGACACAAAACGACTTCTGTTTGAGAGTGAACGGCTCAACCTGAAAACACAACAAAAATAAAACATGACATAAAATCTTCATCTGTTTCTAAAGATTCTGTGAAAATTTGAGGTTATTTCAAGAATCACCAAAATTATTGCTTTACAAAATGATGTCAGATTTTTTGGGTCACCCTGTAAATACAAAACACAATGTTCCAAGACAGAGTTCTAAAATCGACAGATAAATAGATGAATATTTATTCATTAATACAATAGACCTACGTCAGAGTATCAGTGTTTTCAGGCGTCCACACGGTGCCGGATCAGATCTGTACGAACATGAATTCGTGGGAGCTGGAGGCATCAGATCGTTCCGTCTCTGGAGCCGTTTTCAATCAGATTAGTGTGAAAAAAACACTGCATCCACAACAAAAAGAACTCAGATATGAAATAATGTGAACGGAGCCTTAGACCAGAGGGAGGTCAGTGCTCAGTGGTGAACCATAGACCTGGACCCTGGGCCTTCACTAGGACCTGGCTATTGTGATTTTTTATTTTTTTTTTTTTTGGAGGGGGGCACATGGGCCCAAATTATAAATATATGTATATATATGTTGTGTATATATATAGGCTCTATAGTATTATAACGAACGCCAGAAACAGACAGACATTTTGGTCACTATATGGATCACAACACACAACTAAGAGCAAAGATGACGCAACCTGATCCACCGCTCACAAACGGCCCCAGCAACATCAGCAAAACTGCAATAAGAGGTTCTGATCACAACCTGAACACACGACATCAGCGCCGCTGCTACAGCGGAACAACCGGAGCAGCTCCAACGCACCACCAGCTCATTTATACAATATTTAACTATTAACACTATAACACTATTTAACTATAACACTATAACACTATTTAACTATAACACTATTTAACTATAACACAATTTAACTATAACACTATTTAGTCCAGTCTGGTCCGAGACACAAGGTCCAGGAGCCGAGTGCACGAGCTGGTTGTAAAACTCTTAATCTCACTTCCCACTTAAATCTAAAAGTTTGGGCCGGTCCATATTAACACCAGGACTCCAGGTGGACTTAAGCCCTCTGCGCTACATCCACTCCACTTTTACACCCAGAAACGAGCGGGCAGAGGCGGACAGAGCAGCGAGTGACTGTCCCAGCCCCGGCAGCGCCTGCCCCGGGTCCCAGCGGTGACAGCGGGTGCTGCTCCCCTCGCTCTCTCCTCTGTGAAGTCTCTATCCGCCATTATCCAGTGTGTGAATCAAAATAAGAGCTGCAGGATTCCACCGCAGCCAAATGCTTCATTTCAGTTTAATGCTTCTTTTCTTGATTGGCAGAAGGGTCCCGGACGACAAGACATATTACTCCCTAAAACTGTTCCTCGAAGGCAGTTTGACTTGAAGTTGAACTCGTCATAACTCCTGTAGCACACAGCTCTGTTGTCATCTGCTCATGAGCCTGTAGCAGTGACACGCGTCAGTGCAGAGTCGAGGCTGAGCGAGCAGAGCATCACTCAGTTTTATTTACTATCACAGGGGATTTGTAAAGGCCCAGAAGATGACGTGATTCGATCCCGCCTGTAACTTGATGAAATATGATTGGCTAAGACAACTGCCAATCTCAAAACTTATACACACATTGACTTGTATTGACACGGGCCTTCGCTACAGGAAGGAGAAGGTCCTGCAGGTGTTTCTTTAGTTCAGTGTCTGCAGGGGGAGTCACTGATTTACTTCATCGGGTCATTGGCTCGTTGACTCTCGTTCTGACATAAATCCGTGTTTGCAAATGACCATAAATTAAAAAAAAACACAGAGACAGAAGTTCCTCAGATCATGACACGAGAATCCACAAAGTTTCTCGCTCTTCTCACTATTTTATTTACACCAAACATCCAAACCCGACTGTGTCCCGGTTTAGAGTTTAGAAAATCTGGTCCCTAGTTTAAGCTTTTCGTCTTTCTGACCTTGTCGGTTGAAGATTTGGTGATGGGGCAGATTTATGAAGCTGCTGGAGAATGAGACACACATTTACACACATTTTGTCACAGAAAATTATTAACAGGAAGTTCCACAAACCTGACGGGGGCTGTTGTGAAAAGGTTCTGTGGTTTGTGAACAGATGAGCAGTTGTGGTTTAAAAAGAATGGCACAGTTTGAGTCAGATCTGTTCACACTCACAAGCTTCAGAAATAAATGTGTTTAAGTGAAATATGAGTTAAAAAACTGCAGCAAACAGACGAGGGCCGAGAAACACAGAGGAGCTGATCCGAGTGTGAGATTTATTTATTTTTTAGTGTTTTTATCCACATAAACTTCAAACAACATAAATTGTCAAACTCCATTTAACTTAAATGAAGGTGAAGTTTGACCTTTGAACTGTTTCTGGAGTAAAATAATGAAAATAAAGTCAAAATAAAGAGCAGGACTGATGCATATTCTGGATTTGAGTCAAACAGGGAAATGAAGAGACCCAAAACAAAAAGACTTTACTCATCACCACGGCGACCAGCGCTCTGTCGTCACTGCAGTGAAAAACACACAAAACCCTTTATAATCCTGTTTCTATTATTATTTTTATTTTCCTGCACCAGTTCCACGGGAAACCAAAGTGTGACCGGTGAAGGTCCAAACCGTTTAAGTGAATCATGATGATCATCGACACGTGTGGATTTAACACCAAATAAAAACAAGGTCAACAAACATGGATCAAACCATCGACACCAGAGAGAGTTTGGACTCAGACAAATATTTATTTATCTGCACCGAGCTCTGATACCACATCTGTGTGGAGAAACATCTGTGTGGACATCTGTGTGGAGAAACATCTGTGTGGAGAAACATCTGTGTGGAGAAACATCTGCTGTGGAGAAACATCTGTGTGGAGAAACATCTGTGTGGAGAAACATCTGTGTGGAGAAACATCTGTGTGGAGAAACATCTGTGTGGAGAAACATCTGTGTGGAGAAACATCTGTGTGGAGAAGGCGGCAGCGACGCCCAATCCAAAGACTGAACACAGAGACACTAAATATGTACAATCTTCTGTCTCGATTTCTCCTCCATGTTCCACACACGTTTTCCATCCATCCATGTTCTTCTTCTTCTCTGGGGTCGGGTCTCGGGGCATCAGTCTAAGCAGCGACTCCCAGACTTCCTTCAGCCTGGACACTTCCTCCAGCTCCTCTGGGGGACCTGAGGTGTTCCCAGTCCAGAGACATCGTCCCTCCAGTGTGTCCTGGGTCTCCTCCTCCTCCCAGTGGGACATGAACACCTCCTGAGGGACACGTCCAGGAGACGTCAGAACAGACGTCCTCCCCTCAGACGCTCCTCTCCACGTGGAGGAGCAGCGGCTCTACGCAGAGCTCCTCCTGTGTGACTGAGCTCCTCACACACGTTTCCTGTCTTTGTTTTTTTCCGTGTGTGACCTGGATGAACCTGCTCACGTCAACTGTGTCGTCATGTTTTACTTAGAAAAAAGTTTTACTTTGTTTCCGTTGGGAACCAACGTTTCGGTTCCTGAACGCTCAGATTTTCAGTGTGAACACGTCCGTCAGTTTGAGGTCAGGTTCTTTGGGCCTGAGAACAAAACAGAGACGTGATGTTTGAGTAAAAATGTATTGAACTTTACTTTTGACTGAACCTGCATGTATGTGTGTGATTTAAACTGTGTCGCATCCTGTTTTTATCCACAGAAGAAGAGCAGCGCGTCCACCCAGACGAGGTCATGTACAGCGAGCTCCACATGTCACATGATCACAGACCACCAATCAAACAAGTCCAAGGTAAACTGTTTAGACCTGGTTTAGACCTGGTTTAGTCCTGGTTTAGTCCTGGTTTAGACCTGGTTTAGACTTGGTTTAGACCTGGTTTAGACCTGGTTTAGACCTGGTTTAGACCTGGTTTGTCCTGGTTAGACTTGGTTTAGACCTGGTTTAGACCTGGTTTAGACCTGGTTTAGGTTTAGACCTGGTTTAGACCTGGTTTAGACCTGGTTTAGACCTGGTTTAGGTTTAGACCTGTTTAGACCTGGTTTAGGTTTAGACCTGGTTTAGACCTGGTTTAGACCTGGTTTACTTGGTTTAGACCTGGTTTAGACCTGGTTTAGACCTGGTTTAGACCTGGTTTAGACCTGGTTTAGACCTGGTTTAGGTTTAGACCTGGTTTAGACCTGGTTTAGACCTGGTTTAGTCCTGGTTTAGTCCTGGTTTAGACCTGGTTTAGACCTGGTTTAGACCTGGTTTAACCTGGTTTAGACCTGGTTTAGACCTGGTTTAGTCCTGGTTTAGACCTGGTTTAGACCTGGTTTAGACCTGGTTTAGACCTGGTTTAGACCTGGTTTAGACCTGGTTTAGACCTGGTTTAGACCTGGTTTAGACCTGGTTTAGACCTGGTTTAGACCTGGTTTAGTCCTGGTTTAGACCTGGTTTAGACCTGGTTTAGACCTGGTTTGGACCTTGGTTTAGACCTGGTTTAGACCTGGTTTAGACCTGGTTTAGTCCTGGTTTAGACCTGGTTTAGACCTGGTTTAGACTGGTTTACCTGGTTTAGACCTGGTTTAGACCTGGTTTTGGTTTAGACCTGGTTTAGACCTGGTTTAGACCTGGTTTAGACCTGGTTTTCCTGGTTTAGACCTGGTTTAGACCTGGTTTAGACCTGGTTTAGACCTGGTTTAGACCTGTTTAGACCTGGTTTAGACCTGGTTTAGACCTGGTTTAGACCTGGTTTAGACCTGGTTTAGACCTGGTTTAGACCTGGTTTAGACCTGGTTTAGACCTGGTTTAGACCTGGTTTAGACCTGGTTTAGACCTGGTTTAGTCCTGGTTTAGACCTGGTTTAGACCTTTAGACCTGGTTTAGACCTGGTTTAGACCTGGTTTAGACCTGGTTTAGACCTGGTTTAGACCTGGTTTAGACCTGGTTTAGACCTGGTTTAGACCTGGTTTAGGTTTAGACCTGGTTTAGACCTGGTTTAGACCTGGTTTAGACCTGGTTTAGACCTGGTTTAGACCTGGTTTACACCTGTGAGTGGGACTTTTTTTAGTACTGAACCTGTGAAAAATGCTAATCTAGTTTTGATTCTACTTTTAATTTCAATTCTTTGAAATAAAAGCCTTGTTGTTCTTCTCGGATGTGAGGACGAGCGTCAGGTTCTGCCCGCTGACGGTGGCCGTGGTCATCGAGGTCTGAGAACAGAAGCAGCTCTGGCGTGTGGTCAGACGGGTGGAAAATAAGACGCATTTTTATTTTCCACTGAAAACCACAATCTGAAAAACAGGAAATAATAATAAGGCCAGTGTGAATCTTGTATCTGTGTTAAATATTGTTTAGACTCTGAACTTTAGAGAGCGAAAAACACAGGAAGTAACACTGACATCAAACTAAAGCTAACGGAGCACTACAGCTCACACAACTGATGGGACCTGTCGCCTGAGTCGTGTTTTGTTTCATTGTGTTTCATGTTTATCACACAAATCTGCACATTTATCACGAGTTCTTCTCTCAAACACTCTGTTCCACCTTGTGATGTCATCATGTGGTAATACAGGAAGAGCTCCACCGTGTTTTTAACCTCCACACACCTTCACAAGAATCATTTGGATGATGTAATTTTACATCATCCAAATTATCCAGTAAATCATTATTGATTTGGTGAAATTAATAATTAGATCAGATTATTAAGTATTAATTAATGATGTGGAGAAGGTGTTCGACCGTGTTCCTCGTGTGTCCTGTGGGGGGCGCTCCGGGAGTCTGGGGTCCGGTCCCTTTATGACCGGAGCAGGAGCTGTGTTTATTGCCGCAGTGAGTCAGACCTGTTCCCGGTGCATGTTGGACTCCGCCAGGGCCGCACCTGTCACCAGTTCTGTTCATTGTTTTTATGGACAGAGTTTCTCGGTGCAGTCAGGGGCCTCCCCTCACCTCTGCTCATGAACTCTGGGTCATGACTGAAATGACGAGATCAACGATACGATGAGTTTCCTCCGCAGGGCGTCTGGGCCTCTCCCTTAGAGACAGAGTGAGGAGCTCAGTCACACGGGAGGAGCTCGGAGTAGAGCCGCTGCTCCTCCACGTGGAGAGGAGCGTCTGAGGGGAGGACGTCTGTTCTGACGTCTCCTGGACGTGTCCCTCAGGAGGTGTTCATGTCCCACTGGGAGGAGGCCCCAGGAGACCCAGGACACACAGGAGGGACCATGTCTCTGGACTGGGAACAACTCTGTGTCCCTCGGAGAATAATAATGAATATAATAATAATAATAATAATAATAATAATAATAATAATAATAATAATAATAATAATAATAATAATAATAATAATAATAATAATAATAATAATAATAATAATAATAATAATAATAATAATAATAATAATAATAATAATAATAATAATAATGAATATAATAATAATAATAATAATAATAATAATATGAATAATAATAATATAATAATAATAATATAATAATAATAATAATAATAATAATAATAATAATAATAATAATAATAATAATAATAATAATAATAATGAATATAATAATAATAATAATAATAATAATAATAATATAATAATAATAATAATAATAATAATAATAATAATAATAATAAATAATATTGTGTTTCAGAGTCTGAGCTGAGTCCAATTTATTCCGCAGTGAAAACTCAAAGTGTGAGGTAAGACCAGGACTGAACCAGGACTGAACCAGGACTGAACCAGGACTGAACCAGGACTGAACCAGGACTGAACCAGAACTGAACCAGGACTGAACCAGGACTAAACCAGGACTGTTTTTGATGTTTTGTTTTTCTTTTACAGCCGTGTCCCTCCGTCTTAAACCTCTTCCGTTTGTCCTGAACTCGTGGGTTTCTTCTTCCTGTTCAGCGGCGCCATTTTGAGGACTTTTCCCCCACAGACTCGGTTTTACTGTGTGCACATGTAAATATGTTTGACGTCCTGTGTGTTTGTAATTTAAGTCGAATGTAAAACATTTATTTTGGTTTGTTCCTGTGAAACACCTTGTGATGTCATCATGTGGTGATACAGGAAGTGCTCCACTGTGTTTTTAAACTGCACACACCTTCACTAGAATCAACTGGATTATTTCATTTCAAATCTGGAACCGACAATCAAGGAAATTGTATATATAAACCAGGACTAAACTAAGACTAAACCAGGTCTAAACCAGGTCTAAACCAGGTCTAAAAACCAGGCCAAAACTAGGACTAAAACCAGGACTAAACCAGGACTAAACCAGGACTAAACCAGGTCTAAACCAGGTCTAAAAACCAGGCCAAAACTAGGACTAAAACCAGGACTAAACCAGGACTAAACCAGGACTAAACCAGGACTAAACCAGGTCTAAACCAGGTCTAAACCTGGACTATGACGGGACAAAGCAGGGACTGAACCAGGACTACATCAGGTATAAACCGGGACTAACCTAAGACTAAATCAGAACTAAACCAGGACTAAATCAGGACTTATAAACATCGAAATAAAAAACACAAATATAAAAACGTGACACGCAAATCAATAAAATAATTTGTATAAATAAACGTGTATTTGTAAATATATTTGAAATTAAATCCGCTGGTCTTTGTTTCTCTTTGGAGTCTGCGTTTGTGGATTCATTTTTTACTTTTTTTTACTACTGGAGCAGAAGAACAAACACGGACACAGACGAAGATCAACACTTGTGTTTTGATTCTGTGATAATTAAATTTAAAAATAAAATAATAATAATAATATAATAATGTAATATAATAAAAAAATTAAATGAAACATGATCAAGAACCAGGCCAAAACTAGGACTAAACCAGGACTGAACCAGGACTGAACCAGGACTAAACCAGGACTGAACCAGGACTGAACCAGGACTAAACCAGGACTAGACCAGGACTGGACCAGGACTAAACCAGGATTAAACCAGGTCTAAACCAGAACTAAACCAGGACTGAACCAGGACTAAACCAGGACTAAACCAGGACTAAACCTGGACTAAAACCTGGACTAAACCTGGACTAAACTGGACTAAACCTGGACTAAACCAGGACTAAACCTGGACTAAACCAGACTGACTAACTAAACCAGGACTAGACCAGGACTAAACCAGGACTGAAACCAAGAGGACTAAACCAGGACTAAACCAGGACTAGACCAGAACTAAACCAGGACTAAACCAGGACTAAACCAGGTCTGAACTAAGAGGACTAAACCAGGACTAAAACCAGGACTAAACTAGGACTGAACCAAGAGGACTAAACCAGGACTAAACCAGGACTGAACCAGGACTAGACCAGAACTAAACCAGGACTAAACCAGGACTGAACCAGGACTAAACCAGGACTAGACCAGGACTAAACCAGGACTGACCAGGACTAAAGCAGGTCTAAACCAGGACTAGACCAGAACTAAACCAGGACTGAACCAAGAGGACTAAACCAGGACTAAACCAGGACTAAAACCAGGACTGAACTAAGAGGACTAAACCAGGACTAAAACCAGGACTAAACCAGGACAGAACCAAGAGGACTAAACCAGGACTAAACCAGGACTAAACCAGGTCTGAACTAAGAGGACTAAACCAGGACTAAAACCAGGACTAAACCAGGACTGAACCAAGAAGACTAAACCTGGACTAAACCTGGACTAAACCAGGACTAAACCAGGACTAAACCTGGACTAAACCTGGACTAAACCAGGACTGAACCAAGAGGACTAAACCAGGACTAAACCAGGACTAAACCAGAACTAAACCAGGACTAGACCAGAACTAAACCAGGACTAAACCAGGACTGAACCAGGACTAAACCAGGACTAAACCAGGACTAGACCAGGGACTAAAACCAGGACTAAACCGGACTAAACAGGACTAAAACCAGGGACTAAACCTGGACTAAACCTGGAAACTTAAACCTGGACTAAACCTGGACTAAACCAGGACTAAACCTGGACTAAACCAGGACTAAAAACCTGGACTAAAACCTGGACTAAACCTGGACTAAACCTGGGGACTAAACCAGGGACTAAAACCAGGACTAACCTGGACTAAAACCTGGACTAAACCTGGACTAAACCTGGACTAAACCTGGACTAAACCTGGACTAAACCAGGACTAAACCTGGACTAAACCAGGACTAAACCTGGACTAAACCAGGACTAAACCACTAAACAGGACTAAACCTGGACTAAACCTAAACCTGGGACTAAACCTGGGACTAAACCAGGACTAAACCTGGACTAAACCTGGACTAAACTGGACTAAACCTGGACTAAACCTGGACTAAACCAGGACTAAACCTGGACTAAACCTGGACTAAACCACCCTGGACTAAACTAAACCAGGACTAAACCAGGACTAAACCAGGACTAAAACCTGGACTAAACTAAAACCTGGACTAAAACCAGGACTAAACTGGACTAAACCTGGACTAAACCAGGACTAAACCTGGACTAAACCAGGACTAAACCAGGACTAACTAACCAGGACTAAACCAGGACTAGGACTAAACCTGGACTAAACCAGGACTAAAACCTAAACCAGGACTAAACCAGGACTAAACCTGGACTAAACCTGGACTAAACCTGGACTAAACCTGGACTAAACCAGGACTAAACCAGGAACTAAACCTGGACTAAAACCTGGACTAAACCAGGACTAAACCTAAACCAGGACTAAACCAGGACTAAACCAGGACTAAACCTGGACTAAACCTGGACTAAACCTAAACCTGGACTAAACCTAGGACTAAACCTGGACTAAACCCTGGACTAAACCAGGACTAAACCAGGACTGGACTAAACCTGGACTAAACCAGGACTAAACCTGGACTAAACCTGGACTAAACAAGGACTAAACCAGGACTAAAACCTGGACTAAACCAGGACTAAACCTGGACTAAAACCTGGACTAAACCTGGACTAAACCTGGACTAAACCTGGACTAAACCAGGACTAAACCAGGACTAAACCAGACTAAACCAGGACTAAACCAGGACGACTAAACCAGGACTAAACCAGGACTAAACCTAAAGGACTAAACCTGGACTAAACCTGGACTAAACCAGGACTAAAACCAGGACTAAACCTAAACCTGGACTAAACCAGGACTAAAACCTGGACTAAACCAGGACTAAACCAGGACTAAAACCAGGACTAAACCAGGACTAAAACCTGGACTAAACCAGGGGACTAAACCAGGACTAAACCAGGACTGAAACAGGACTAACCAGGACTAAAACCAGGACTAAACCAGGACTAAACCAGGACTAAACCAGGAGGACTAAACCAGGACTAAACTACAGGACTAAACCTAAACCAGGACTAAACCACTAAACCAGGACTAAACCAGGACTAAACCAGGACTAAACCCAGGACTAAACCAGGACTAAAACTAAACCAGGACTGGAAACCAGGACTAAAACCAGGACTAAACCAGACTGGACTAAACCAGACTGACTAAACCAGGACTAAACCAGGACTAGGACTAGGACTAAACCAGGACTAAACCAGGAGAACTAACCAGACTAAAACCAGGACTAAACCAGGACTGAACCAGGACTAAACCAGGACTAGACCAGAACTAAACCAGGACTAAACCAGGACTGAACCAGGACTAAACCAGGACTAAACCAGGACTAAACCAGGACTAAACCAGGACTAAAACCCAGGACTAAACCAGGACTAAACCAGGACTAAACCAGGAGACTAAACCAGGACTAAACCAGGACTAAAGAAGGACTAAACCAGGACTGGACTGAACCAAGAGGACTAAACCAGGACTAAACCAGGACTAAAGGACTAACAGAACTAAAAGGAACTAAACCAGGACTAAACCAGGACTAAACCAGGACTAAACCAAACCAGGACTGAACCAGAGGACTAAACCAGGACTAAAACCAGGACTAAACAACCAGGACTAAACCAGGGACTGAACCATAAACCAGGACTAAACCAGGACTGAAACTAAACAGGACTAAAGAACCAGGACTGAACCAGGACTAAACCATTTTGAAATGTTAAATTGTGTTTGTGTGGAGAATGTGTCACTAAAACCTTTGTAGTGACGTTTAGACAGATTTATTAATTTATTTATTTTTATTTTTTTCACTGAGCTCCGACAGCGTGAGCTAAAAGACTCAAAAAAAAAAAAAAAAAAAAACCTGTCGGATTTATCGACGACTTTCTACTCAACTTTCCTTCACAAATTTCTTCTCGACTGGTGTAAAACTTTAATTTATATTTACAAACGTGTATTATCGCGCTAAAAAGTCTCATTCACTTTTCATTTTCACATTTTAAAGAAATTGTGACGATAAAAAAAATAATAATTATAATAATGTGGTTGTAGTTCCTGGTTGATCCACGTGAGGGCGCCACAGGACCACGTTTACACTCACGAGGACGAGTTAAACACAGGGTTTATGACACGGATCAGTTCAGGTTTTATTGAAATACAAAAGTCGGAGAGAGAGAGTCGTCCTAGAACTAAACCAGGACTAAACCTGGACTAAACCAGGACTAAACCAGGACTAAACCTGGACTAAACCAGGACTAAACCTGGACTAAACCAGGACTAAACCAGGACTAAACCTGGACTAAACCTGGACTAAACCTGGACTAAACCTGGACTAAACCTGGACTAAACCTGGACTAAACCTGGACTAAACTAAACCAGGACTAAACCTGGACTAAACCAGGACTAAACCAGGACTAAACCAGGACTAAAGGACTAAACCTGGACTAAACCTGGACTAAACCACTAAACCTGGACTAAACCTGGACTAAACCAGGACTAAACCTGGACTAAAACCAGGACTAAACCAGGACTAAACCTGGACTAAACCTGGACTAAACCTGGACTAAACCAGGACTAAACCTGGACTAAACCTGGACTAAACCAGGACTAAACCTGGACTAAACCTGGACTAAACCTGGACTGAACTAAGAGGACTAAACCAGGACTAAACCTGGACTAAACCAGGACTAAACCAGGACTAAACCAGGACTAAACCAGGACTAAACCAGGACTAAACCAGGACTAAACCAGGACTAAACCAGGACTAAACCAGGACTAAACCAGGACTAAAACCTGGACTAAAACCAGGACTAAACCTGGACTAAACCTGACTAAACCAGGACTAAACCAGGACTAAACCAGGACTAAACCAGGACTAAACCAGGACTAAACCAGGACTAAACCAGGACTAAAGGACTAAAACCAGGACTAAACCAGGACTAAACCAGGACTAAACCAGGACTAGACCAGGACTAAACCAGGACTAAACCAGGACTGAACCAAGAGGACTAAACCAGGACTGAACCAGGACTAGACCAGAACTAAACTAGGACTAAACCAGGACCGAACCAGGACTAAACCAGGACTAAACCAGGACTAAAGCAGGACTAAACCAGGACTAAACCAGGACTAGACCAGGACTAAACCAGGACTGAACCAAGAGGACTAAACCAGGACTAAACCAGGACTAGACCAGGACTAAACCAGGACTAACCAGGACTAAACCAGGACTGAACCAAGTCTAAACCATTTTGAAATGTTAAATTGTGTTTGTGTGGAGAATGTGTCACTAAAACCTTTGTAGTGACGTTTAG